GGCAAAGCCGACTGGTCTCCCTCCGCTAAAATCCCATGTTCAAAGTGACCAACAAGTCCTAAATCCTAACGGCTCTTCGCCCAGGTTTTCCCACAAACATGGGGGCGGGCGGCTTTCACGGGACCTACCACTGTCTGTATCCGTCGTACAGGAGGCTTGTACGATTCGGTCCATGGCACGCATTCATGAGACCGGGGGTTGATTGGGCAGAACTGAAGGCCATGACAAGGATGCCGCTCAAGGAAGAAGCGGCCTCTCTGGGAGACTCTGGACGAGGAGGCCGTTCCAGGCTCTGACCAACCCACGCTCAGAGCGACATTCCGCATTTTAGCCGTGGCGCTGCTACGCGGGTTTGCGGCCCGGCGGGCAGCGCAGACGGAGGTCGTGATGGGGCCACGAGCGCTCGATCTGCCCGTAAGCTCCGTGGCGCCCCCTCCCGTTCTATCCTCTTTTTCACCCGGAAGAAGACGATTGTGGTGCAAAGTGAGGATTTTGAAGCAATCTATCTCGTCGCAGATGGATGGTTACCCCCTCCAGGCCAAGCCCAGAACGGCCGGACCAGCTTCTCGGCTCTGTATCCTGTTGTTCCTATGGCCATGCTGACGCTAAGGTAGAGATGGGAATTGTGGACACAATCTGCCTCGAGGCGCGGGCCGTGACCTTGAATCCCTTGATGATAAAGTCTTCGTGATGCCCCAAGAGTACACACGTTGTCCTATTTACTTTGATTTGAAAAGGGGTTTTCTGTGAATTCCATGAATTTCAGCCACACCGACACTCATACCAATATTCGTATTCGTCTTCTTCTGGCCACGATACAAACGAAGAGGTCAACTACCGTTTCTTACAATTTCGGCCGTCTGGGTCCGCCACTATTTCCAACCCCCTTTGGGACGGTCACGAGGTATCATTCTTCACTCGATTCGGAACTGCTGTCAAGAAAACCCCCGAGCGACACTAGGCCCAGAACTTGCTCTGTTCCTGCGCCGCCGCCCGCTGTCTGTCCGAGTTTTCGGATCATTACGTCTGTAGGACAGGAGTTATCTCCAGTTTCCACCACTTGGGAATAACAGCCGCTGAGAGCCTACGACATTGTGGTGTGGTTTGCGCCGTCACGAGACATTTCGGAATATATAAAAAGAAGACTATTGAGAGCCGGGTTCACGCGTTGCGTTTCGTTCGCTCATTTGAAGGATCTTGCTTTGGAGGTAACGATCGGATCAACTGACAGCTTCAATCTCACCTCGGCCAGCTGGATACGATATTCGATCTCACTTCTCATGATTCTCGACAACACAACGCATCAGTCTGACAGTCACTTGAGCACTTGACGTGTCCCTTTCTTCTGCTCTACCCAGGAACTAGACCGGCCCATACGCAATATTGATCATCTATCGGGAAACGCATCTGTTGGCTTGCGAAAGGTTCTGCTGAGCAGGACTGAGCTTGGACTGAGCAGTTGGCAAGCCTTTGGTATCAGTACATACTTTGACCCGCGAGTCGGCTGCAGGATTCGCGCATAGGCGTGTATCAGTGTGAGTGTGTGCATCCAGACACACTGCTCACGCCGCTCTCGACTCGAGAGTCTCGAGTAATAAGAGTTACTTGAGTCTCCCCCACCACACCACCCCCCTTTCGATCTCTGGGCGACGGCAGCTCGGATGATCTTGGCCCGCTGGGCCGCTGGCCCCACTGAGGCGCCCCCCGCAAATGAGGGGGGGGGGAAAGGAGGAGGAGGAGAAGATGGAGATGGAAGGGATGGAGGAGATGGAGGAGCAGCAGTTGGGGGAATTGGAGATGCCGGCAACACAGCGATCCTGACCGAGACGACCAGTAGTAACTCGAGCTCAGGAAGCACAACACCAGCTCCCGCTGTACCCTTCTCGTCTGTCAAGTCCCCCAAATCACGGCTGGGGAAGAAGTCTGCTACTACTCGCAGGGGGCTTGGGTCAGGTACACGTACAGGGTCAAGCAGCAGCAGCGGAAGCGGAAGCGGTGGGAGCATTGGGGGAGGGATACCGTTATTAGGAGGAGGGATACTAGGAGTAGGAGGACCTGGACAACCATCAGGAGGAGGGCAAGGAGGAGGAGGAGGAGGAAGACGCAGGACTTCTTCCAGAATTATTAAGACGACCCCGCCGTCGTCTACCGCCGTGTCCCGGGCCACCTCCGTCTCCCCTACCTCTACTCTCCTCACCTCGCCCCCTTCTTCTGCGGCCATCACAGCTGCAACCTCCGCCGCGACGACGCGCTCGTCCACCTCGACTCCCACTGCTGCAGTGGCCGGTGCCGCCGCTGCTGCAGCCGCTGCAAGCCGCAAGGTCTTCCCCAAAAGTATGGAGCCCCCCGTCGTCTCCTTTTACGGGGCCGAGCCCATCCCGTTGCCGTCACGCTTCGCCGGCGTCAAGAAGCGGCTCATCGTCGGCCACGAGGCTGCCGTTGAGGCTTCGTGGCATCGTCTCATCGACGCTCTGAGAACCGAGATTACAGATATTTCCACTCGGGGATCGGAGCTGATCCCGTCCATCAACTTCACCGACATCACTGACCCTGTCCGCGTCGAAGCCTTTGCGCACAGGCTGCGCCGGTATGGTGTAGCCGTCATACGCGGGGTCGTGCCGCCCAACGATGCTCAGAAATGGGTGCACGAAACTCACGAGTATCTCGACAAGAACCGCGAGTTCAAGCCACCCGCTCTTCATGACCCTACTTGTATTGATCTCTTCTGGACGCCAGTTCAAGTGCGCGCCCGCGCGCATCCCAACATGCTGCGCGCACAAAAGTTCGCAATGTCCTTTTGGGAATCGACAGACGACGTGCACATCACTCGCGCACCTGTGAGCTATGCCGATCGTCTTCGCATTCACAACGACAAGCTCGGTGCCGTCGGCCAACCCACCGGAAACTCGGCCGCAGACTCTCTTAGCACCACCGCCTCGTCAACCGTTATCGCGCAAATCGACAGCGGCAGTCTAGAACGCTGGGAACCGGACGGCTACGGCCGTGGCGGCACCTACGAAGCCGTGTTCCGCGGCGACTGGGAGTCCTACGATCCCTGGGACCCGGCCGGCCGAGTCGGTGCCACGACGGATCTGTACAACGGCGCGGGCGCCTGCAGCATCTTCCGCATGTTCCAGGGTATTCTCGCGCTCACCGAGGTCGAGCAGGGCATGGTGCGCGTGTTGCCGTCGCCCAAGCTGGTGGCTGCGTACTTCCTCTTGCGGCCATTCTTCTCGCCGAAGCGTGGGCCGCCAGAGCAGCCGGATGGCGGCAAGGCTGACCAGTGGGCTGCGTATCTTGATGCGTCCAACTGGACGCTTGATCTGGAGCCGAATACCATTATCCACGGAGCTGTCCCGGGTCATGCTCAGCGTCTCACGGAACGCTGGCACCCGCATCTGCACCTGCGCAGGAGTCTGGTCTCTATGCCTAGCCTACAGGCCGGTGACTACGTTATTTGGCACTGCGACCAGGCCTACTCCATCATCACGGGCGGCACCAGGTTAGGCGTCCCGCCGTCGTTGCAAAACGAGTCAAATGAGCTTTCCCTGCTCACGTACACCCCCGTTTGCCCCCTGACGCAGACAAATGCCCTGTTCCTCGCTCGCCAGAGAAAGGCATTCCAGACCGGTCAACCGGGACCGGACTTTGACACGCTGGGTGGGCTGGGAAGCGAAGCCTCGCATCAGGACCGCCCCGGTGCCAAGGAGGTCGAGGAGTACGGCGGAGTCGACGGTCTCCGCGCAATGGGATTGGCACCCTACGATGTCGAACCAGCGGGTGTCATTCCGCCCAAGCATGCGGATGCCATGGATATTGATGACGAGGAGGGCATCAGAAACAAGACAAAGACGGAAGCGGAGACCGAACTCCTGCGGCTGGCAAACATCATTCTCTTTCCGAGCCGCTACGATTTCTACATTCCTACAAACGGCACCCGAGGCAGCGGCGATCGCACTCCTCGCGCGACTGCGGGACCGCCAAAGACGGTGGTTAACGGCAGTAAGAACGGCAGCAAGAGCTGACGGCGTTGGTTGAAGGGGCGATGGCGGCGCGGCGACCGGCGACAGGTAGACTCGTCGGGTAGAGAGATTGCGGAGGAAGAGGATGAGGGCGACGAGGAACCGGAGACCGTCGTCGAGACTGTGACCCCCAAGGGGATGAGTGAGGGGACCATCACAGTTACGGTCACCGCGGCGGAAGTCTAGATTGCTGTTTTTCTTACCGTGATACCCTGCAATCGGGCAACTTGTCAACGGAGGGCTGGATGATAGAAGAAGACACTGCCTTAGTGAGAGAGAGTGTGTGTGTGAGAGCGAGACAGAGAGAATGGGAAGGCCGCCCCTTCAACGTGACGCTAGAAAGCACATAATACGCGTGTAGATGACGATCGAGTTCAGGACTGAGGAACGAAGGAAGACCTGTCAATATCCAGTGCGACTGACTGTCGGACCGCGATTGAGGCACTCAACGATTGGTAGACGAAACATTGCGAGATTCCATGCATCTTCATAGGCTTGGCGGGATCCGCTGTCAAGACCCGATACTTTTCTTTGCCATTCATCTTACCACATTTGATTTTGTATGCAATTGTATCTGCGGTCTGCAAACTGTGAGTGTAAGGCGTAAATAATTACGGCGAATATTGGTCAACGGGGCGGGCGTTGCAGGATGGCGGCCGGGACGTAGCCGGTTCTTAGGCTGGAGAGGACCGGGACGTGTTCCCGGCTCACACCACCACATGCCCCCTTCTTAGGCTCTCATACCTACTTCGTAGTCTCACTTTCAGATGGCGCCGCCCCGAGAGTTTGGGACCGGGCCTGGCTCTGCGCCGGCCGCTGTATTGACCTTGCAGCCGGGAATGCGCTTCTGGACGATCCGATTAGATCCCCTGGCAGTTGGGTTGTCAAACGCGCGCCCTTGTAGAGTGAAGAAGCATATAACGAAGCTCCTCCATGACCTACTGTTCATACTGACATTGCAATGGTGAAAGCCTTGTACCTGTCTCGGTGAGCATACTGCGAGCACTTCACGCAGTGGAGGGCACCACATCGCCGCATCTCAAAAACCCCACGCATGCGAGCCACTTCCCCGTGTTTTATTGCTCCCGGTCTTGATTATATATTTTGCAAACGGCATACCGGTCTGTCATTATCTTCCTTTAAGCCGAATTGGTTCCAGTTTGATCGGTCAAGCGTCGGCGCCCCTCTCGGTCTGGATCCTATCTTGGGGCGCATCGACCCATTTAATACAACCAAATGTACGTAATAAAACTCTTTGAAAAAGAGGGTTCGCGCGGTGATAGTGAATTTCCCCGGACGACGACACGGGGATGCGTTAGTGCCTGACACCACTCCACTGTCATCTGATTACTATCAGGTCTCTCTGTCTCGTCTCGAACGCCGCGTCCTAGTGATGGGTTACCGGTACGAATACACAGACCGTACGGCGTAGAGTTGAGACTCTGAGAAAGCCAAGATAATTTACTGGGACCGAGGCCAGCCAAACCTAGACAGACGCGCGCCCTACAGACAAACTAGGTACGGCATTCCGAATCCTGCAGTCTGCACTCTGCAGACGAGCGAGTCAGGCCCCGAACGTTTCCGCCAGCCGTGATTGGGACGATGGCAGACCGCGCTGTGTAGCCTGCGTGCCTGCGTTCAGGTTGGGGGACTTGGATCCGGGGCTGGGTTCTTTGTCGGGGTTCTACCCGCTTTCTGTGCATCTTCTCCTGCAATGGCACCGCAAATCATCCCGCCATGCTCCTTGTTTGATGGGAAAGGTACGGAACATGGACATGCCAACCCGGAGCTAAGCAGGCCTTCAGGGCTTCTGCTGCCGCGTTCCTCGAGGAAGCTACACACCTTTTCGGCGTGGCCGCCGGCAGACACAAGCAGTACAGAGCCGTCAGTCTTGTCAGAACGCGGTCGTTTGTCGGCAGTAATTGGAGCTAAGCCCCAAGTTTTCGCCTCTCACCCGCGCTTCTCCAAGGGTCTTTTCGGTCTTTTGGGTGCTTCAGCCAACCATCAACTCGACGTCTATCGGATAATGGGGGGGCTTCTTCCTGGTTCTCATGGCCGAATCCGACGTCGGATGTCGCTCGACCCATTGCCAAGATATTAGGATATGGTCTGGCTCATGACCAAAGGCTTGCGGCTTGCGGCTTGAGGCCTTAGATTCTGGAGAGACTTGGAGACAAGCTTACAACCTAAAGCACGTCAGCCCGACGCCAACTGGGAAGAACTGAAGGGAGCGAAAGGCGCGAAAAGTCTCAGCAAATGCTTGATGCGTGGGCCGCCCAATCGACGACTGCCGGGGATTTTCTGGGCCCCTTGTTCTACCCAGTACCATCTGTTCCACCAAGTCTCCTCTTTCGGATCAGTGGCTATCGTCGGCAGCAGATTCAGATTTCGTCTTACCCCAATGCTTGAGGTGATTCTCATCTTATGGCCTGCCGTTGGCCCGTTGCTGCAATGCTTCGACCAGGCGCGGAATTCGGATGTGTACGCCAGTGGAACCCTCGGACGGCTAATCGTAAACGTGGGAATGGGGGCATCTTCATCGGGTATGGATCATAGAAACGCGTCAAGATGCTCTCAACGAGATGACTTTCTCTCCGTTATCGTCGGTATCGTCCGCTCTGACGTTGCCTCCCTTACCCCCAAGCAGGGATGCTTCCTCCTCGCTCTCCTCGAGTCTCCTCCCCCCCGCGTCCACACTACTGATCGCCCCAGCCAGCTGCCAACCATCCCCCGGCGCGGTTTGCTTATCTCTGCGGGGCTCCCTATTAGATGGGGCACTTGGGCCCGTCCGTTGGTCTTGTCTATCACGACCCGAGTAAGTCGCATACTTACACACATACCCAGTGGTAATACCTCCGTAACGCTCCGTATTGGCTTGTTTCTCTCCCAGGAACCGGGAGACGTCAGATGAAGGTTGGCAAGCTAACCATGGAGGGGAAGGGGGGCCGCCAGACGCAAGGTAGCGTCGGGCCAGGGGCACGCAGCGAACTCATCTATATAGAATAACTGCCCTCCTCCTTCGTCCAGGTTGCTGAGTTGTGTTTCAGTCGCATCCCATTCGATCTGCTCGGCGTCTCTGAGAGTGGTACTACCCGACCTCAGCCAGCAAATATCTCTACTTGCACGACTTGTGTTTTTAGACAGTCGGACGTCGGATCACCGGAAGAAAAAGACAACAACAGATCTTACCGTCACCCGCCCAACATGGCTTCCGGGATGGAAGAAAAGACTGTCGGCCTCAGCCGTGCTGACAGCACCAACAGCAACAAGCTCGGGACTGTCATGTCTGGCACCAATGCTGCTGTTGCTCAACAATATGGCGAGACTCAGCGCGGTCTCAGCCCTCGCCATGTCCAGCTCATGGCTATCGGAGGTTCCATTGGTACCGGTCTTTGGGTAGGTCTTCTCACAGCCTTACGATGTTTGCGATTCGCAGCGCAGCTATTGAGAGATTCTAATACGTTTTGACAGGTCGGTATTGGTGGTGTCTTATCCAAGGCCGGCCCTCTCTCTCTCGTTCTCGGCTACACTTTCTGGGGTCTCCTTTTCATCTGGCCGCTTAACTTGTCTGTCGCCGAAATGTGCGCCTACCTGCCCATTCGCGGTACCATCTTCGAACTCGCCTCTCGCTTTGTTGACCCTGCTCTCGGTTTCGCCATGGGATGGACATACTTCTTCGCCGGTCTCATGTTGGTGTGTACGGAATACAGCGCTGTCGCAACAGTCATTCAATACTGGAACGCGGATATCAACCCAGCTGCCTGGATTGCCGTGGCCATGGTCTCCTGTGTGGCAGTCAACTTGGTTGCAGTCAAGTACTACGGAGAATCCGAGTTCATCATGGCTTCGACAAAGGTCATCCTGCTGATCGGCTTGTGCCTCATCACCCTCATCACCATGTCCGGCGGCAACCCTATGAACGACGCCTACGGATTCCGCAACTGGGGTGACGGCAACTACATCCACGCCTACTTTACCGACGGGTCGACAGGAAGGTTCTTGGGATTCTGGAAAGTTGTCATCTACGCCGCCTTCACCATTGCCGGTCCCGACATGATCGCCCTCGCCGCTGGTGAGATCCAGAACCCCCGCCGCACCATCCCCCGCGTCGCCAAGCTCATCTTTTACCGCCTTGTCGGTTTCTACGTTGTCGGTGTTCTGTGTGTCGGCATCATCTGCAGCTCCCGCGACCCTGGCTTGCTCGGCGCCATTGAGAGCGGCGAGCCCGGTGCTGGTGCTTCTCCTTGGGTTGTTGGTATCAAGAACCTCCACATCAAGGCTCTTCCCGATATCATCAACGCCTTCATTCTCCTCTCTGGATGGTGAGTACCCTTGTTACGTGATGCTCACTCTCGAATCATGCTAACAGCTTTCAAGGTCCTGCGGTAACGCTTACCTCTACTCGACTTCCCGCACTCTCTACGGTCTCGCCCGCGACGGACAGGCCCCCAAGTTCCTCCTCAAGTGCACCAAGGCCGGTGTTCCCATCTACTCCGTCCTTGTCGTCACCGTCATCTCCTGCATCACCTTCCTTGTCTCGTCAAACAGCGCCGTCGATGTCTTCTTCTGGTTCGTCGACTTGACCACCACCGCCCTGATCATGACCTACACCTTCATGCTCATCACCTACATGGGCTTCTACCGCGCCCGCATGGCGCAGAACTTCCCTCCCGAGACGCTCCCCTACCTGTCTCCTTGGACCCCGTACTTCCCCGGTCTGGCTCTGCTTTTGGGCATCCTGGCTCTCATCTTTGTCGGTTTTGATAACTTCTATCCCTTCAGCGTGAGAGGCTTCATCACCTCCTACTTTGGTCTCATCTTTGGCGTCGTCACCTTTCTCATCTGGAAGGTTCTGAAGAGGACCCGCTTCGTCCACCCCAAGGAGGCAGATCTCATCAGCGGAAAGGCCGAGGTTGATGCCGAGTGCCGTCACTGGGAGGAGGGTGGCATCGAGGAGGTGGAGAGAGCGAGACTGGCTGAGATGTCTTTCGTCAGGAGAACCTGGGAAAAGATGTGGTAAAAGCTGCTGGTAGCATAACGATAATTATTTGATGTTTCAATGACGATAACATTCTGTCAAACGTGCGACTACATTCTCTCTTGACGTCTGGTCTTGATTGGGCACCTTGCTCCAACTTGGCAATGTTTAATGAAGCTCAACCACTTGGACTCAGAGATACAGGCTACACCGGTGATCCATGGCTTGCTTACAGCTGTTGACTCATATCCCTATGTGTCAACCCCGGCCAGCGTGTGTGTGCTTCTCTTATAGCCAATGCAACCCACACAATCCCTGAAATCATGCTGCGTCCTTCCCATCTGACTACATCAAGTCGCTCGCTCGCTCGTTCTCTGGCGGACATCATTGCCAAAATAACGTTCTGGTAGCTCAGTAGGGAGAGCGGCAGGTGCCGTTCACCGCGGTCCTGCAGGTCGTGTGTTCAAATCATACCCAGAGCCGAACATCAGTTTTGCTTATTTTACTTACTCAATTTTCGATCTACGGTGTCATTATAGCGCCTATTCCAAGCCCCATAACATTTAGTACATGAACTGACACCGTAGTCTCTCAATTACGTAAAGCTCATCTTCCCCGCCTCGCTTGGACTTGCGGGGAAGTTTGCTCGTCTCCAACTCTCTGCTGTGTCCATGCAGATTCGTGTTCTAGATGCAACTTCAACTCACTTAACGCGGCTCTCGTTGCGAAACCGGCTTATCCCACCGGGTCTAAGATGCTCAAATTCTCCAGACACACACGATCATTTACTATAGCCGAGCTAGCCTAGCAATGCGGCCCACCAGGTATTCGACCTCACGACAAAAGGCATGTCAGCCATGCGCGAGCGCCAAAGCCAAATGTGACCGGAAAGCTGTGACATGTTCCCGGTGCCACCAGCGGGGCCTCCCATGTCTCTATCCACAGGCTCGGACGATCCCTTCATCCGCGCCGGGTGCTGCCGGTCTGCATACGGAGGCTGAAGCCGAGGTCGATACGGACCGCGTAGCAACCACGATATCCGCGACTGTGGAAACGAACGCGGGGTTCTCGCCGTTTCGAATAATTCCGTCAAGCGACACGAGCGCTTCATCTCGGGCGGGCGAACTGCTGGCCACAGACACCGATCGATCAGACGTCCTCAAGCCTGATGTGTTCGACTTCTCGGACATGAGCCTTGTCTGCACCATCAACGCTGATGACATTGCCAATCGATGGCTGAATAACTTCGTCCCAATACCGGGACAATTGGCAAAGAACTACTCGTCGAGTATATCGGCTTTTATCCAAAGAATTCTGGAATCTTACGTAAATTCTTCCATCCGCGGCCGCAAGGTTCCTCCTTTTGTACACTGGTCCCAGATAACTCTGCCATTAAGCCAACCCTTGTCAAACTGTCTTTTCGTCATTCGAAGCTATGACGGACCCGATATGGCAGGCGCTGAGGCTGTAGCCAACGAACTCAAGGTAGAGATGGCGAGGCTTTATAGCCAACACACCTCCTACGATGACATGACACTTCTCGCAGCATTTCAAGCGCATCTTATTTACGCCATGGTCATCTTTTTCAAATTCGGGAAAGCTTACTACCCATTTCTGCGGGAGGCCATGATGAGTACCCAGGACCTCGCATGTGCGGTGGCAAAGAAAGGACTCGCTTGCGTTTCCGTAGATGAGCCCCGTCCCAAGTGGGAGTGCTGGATTGCCGCCGAGGCTAAGCGAAGAACTCTGTTCACGATGTGCCTCTTCGATAGCGCCCTGTTGACACACGACGGCCTCCCAACTCATCTTGCCACCGAGTTACGCGGGTTATCAGCGCCGGCGTCCAAGGCGTTGTGGGAGGCTCGAACGAGGCGCGACTGGATAGGTGGATATGACCTTGAGCAAGCAGAATGGCCAGATAGTTGGCTGACTATCGACGAATTATGGCCTGTGCCTGGAAATTACAGCGAGACTGAAGTTATCCACAGGCGTACAAGAGTAAAAGCATGGCTGGAGGACCTAGACGAGTTCGGCACAATGATATATGCTGTTACCAGCGGTACCCACGGTACCTGATTCCGACCAAAGATATTTGTTATTCACATCAAGGTCAGGGGCTCAAAAACCGTATCATAGTTTCTTAAAATCCGCACTGTCTAGAAACTGAAACAAATACTCAGACTATCGTGATCATCCCTTCAGCGACATGCGCGAACCAGTCTCGAAGTGGATATTCTTCCGTGCGGCAAAAGCCAACACGACGGAACTCTTGAGGCTGGCTTGTTGCCTCTAGCAGGAGCCCGTACCAACGGCTTGGTTCTTTGACTCTTCTCGACACCTGCAAGTAGTAGAGAGGGATGTTATTTCCGCAGTAATCCTTGTCGAACACTGCTAATCCGACCATGATCCCATTCTCCTTGAGAAAATCAATTGCTAACTCTTTCCGATAGGTCGAGAACCTCTGAAAACCCGGGGCTTCTGGGGTTTCTCTTGGATCGGCTAGTCTGAGCTTTCCTTCCAGTTGCAGATATCCTGATCTCAGCATACCCCTCGGGTCCAAGCCGAGTGGCGTCGTCTCTGCTTGAGTAATCCTCACCACCACCTCCATCTCGTTTCCCGAGGGCAGAATGTCTCCAATCTCGGGCATCATGACAGCGCCTTCCAAAGATGCCCAGCTCCAGCTTGGAGCGCGAAAGCCACCTGACGGGGTTTCAAGCCAATACTCGCTTCTCCTCCAAAGTAAACCATAATGCAGGTGGTTCTTCCACAACCCGGCAAGGTATCGCTGTCCGGTGCATTCCTCCATCACCTTGGCGAGACCGGAAAGCGCCGGTAGCCGATCGTAGGACTTGGTGATGCCTCTTCTGCTATATGCCGATACCATATCGTACCAGTCCCACACGAATTCTGATGTGGATAGGCGTCCTTGCGCAAAGGGGTATGAAAGGTGAAGTCGTTCGTCCCACACTAACTTTTGCACTGCGAATGCATCTGTCGGTACCCCATCTTCTGCCAGACGAGATTCACGACATTCCCAAAGCAGTTGATCAGAGTCGTAGTGTACTATTCGGGCAGATAGCAGGCGCTCTTGCGTTACCCACGCACGTGAATGTAGGATGCTTTGTGGCAGGTGACTGAAGTCACGCGGTCTAGGTCGTAAGAATACGGGGATAGATACCGATTCATTGTTCGATTTCCGAGTACACTTGACTTGAACGTGATTTGAAGTTGAACGCGGTAAGAAGCAACCCCCTGTAGAGTCTGCGGACGCTGAAGCAGCGATGGTCAGACATGAAGAGGCGTAGATAGTGCCCATCTTCACGCTCTCGAGTTCCCAGTCCTCTTGTGAGTCCTGCACGATGCAGAGGCAGTCGATCCATAGATACTGAACGCCAAGTGACCTCGTTATCAAGACTGCGTCTCTGAACGTTGGAGGTAGCTTGGACATTGGCAACGACTTGATGTGGTCATTGATTGTCTCGCTAGTGGTGCGAATAACAGGATGCAAGCCCCAACAGTGACTTAAAGTCATGTATCGGCCGACTTCTCCACTCGTCACAACGAGCCGAGGCTCCATCACTCCTTCGACACCAACATCTACAACTCGTGTGGGCAGAGTAGCAGGGGCTGAATGGCAACTCTGGTGGTGGTCTTCACACTCGCGCACCCAGTTTTTCACAAGACTGAGTTGCTTAGCGGGAGGTTTGATGGGTCTGCCTAGGATGGAGTTCTCTAGCCGGGCCGTCTCGTCTTTGGGATAGAAGCTGAAATAGCAGTATGCCCTCGGGCTCAGGCGATCGCAGCGGACTTTGACCCAAAAGAGTCCGCGAGACTCGAACTTCTCATCTGTGTACTGAATGCCTCGCAAGATAACCGGCGAGTCTGTGTCATTCCAAGCCTCTTGATCAACACTAACTCCCTCGACCCGGAGCTTTTCGGTGATAGATGTGTAAAAGAGTTGACACAGATCGCACGCGGTGACATTTCTTTCGAGATCAGCAACTGAAGAATGGAGAATAACGTCTTGAACTTCGCATTCCTCATCAACTAGGTCGGCAAGATCAAGCTGACGGCAATCTTGACATGAAGACATGGTCGGGGGCTTCTGGGCGACAACATGCTCCGATGAAGGTCGAAATGAGAAAAGGAGGAGTTGGCTTATGAGAGGTTTACCAGAAAGCCCCGCTGCACATACATAGACTTAGGCTCCATTCGTAGTGAATGATACAGGAGGTTGGGGTTAATGCAGCTATGTGTGCGCCCAAAGCAGGGTTACATTCATCCGGCGTATCTTCTGCGCCGCGAAGCGCTTCACTGGAGAGTTCGAAGTTCCACTACACTGTCGTGATCACTGAATCACCAGCAATTGTCTACTCCTGTACCATGGAATGCGAAGGTCACCAGTTGGTTGCAGCCTTAGACCCACAAAGTCTACTTCAATTTCCGCGGGGGAAGAATATTAGCAGCAACCATGCGATCAAAGGCGATGAGATAGCCTTCGGTCATGCCCAACTCCTCCTTAAACCCAATAGACCGGATCTTGTCCAGGCACATTGCCCGATTCCTCTGTAAGAGAGAAAAGCCGACCCCCATCGTGAAGATCCAAGACGCAGCTGGAATATCACGGTGCTTCAGGCCATACTCGGCACACATCCTCTTGTAGTCATCTTGGTGTTCTTCCCACCACTTTTCGACAGGAAATGTTGCTGAGTAATATGTTAAGATATATCAAAAAGGAATAGCAGCGGTACAGAAACTCACTCTGTGCTCCCTCAACCGGAGGCGTCCCTTGCAGCCCAAAATAATCGACCATGACGGGCCATCGCTCCACCCAGGACACTGGAGTTGCATTATCAGCAGTATTGAAAGCTTCTCCGTTTGATTCTTCCGGCTTCATAGTCGAGAGATAAATATGAGACTTTGCAATAGTATCCTGCGATGAGTCCGTGTTGGTGTGGGTGTAGTTCGCAGCTGTGCCAATGAACTTGATTTCGGCTCCGAGCCCATGGACAAAGCGCCAGAGCGCAAGGAACAGAGCAGTCGGCTCAAGAAACGTCATGATTGAAGTCGTACCAGGAACGAAGCCAACGATTGCATCAGAGCGGACTTCACACCATCTCCAGGACTTGCCCTTCTGTAACTCCTCAATAGCATCTACTTGCCCATAATAGAAGATTTCATCTCCGTATGGAGATGGAATTCTTGGCTGAGACTCTTTCAATGGAGGATGTATCTCAATCTTGTCCTGATGTTGAAAGACAGCCACTCCGTAGCTCTACTTGAGTAAGTATCGTGAGTAGTGGCACACGATGAATACAGCAGCGTAGCAAATGGCAGCTTACTAACATTGGTGCCAGTCTGTAGACTCAGAAATTTAAGGCTTGAGCAGATCTCATCAACCGCCTTGACAGCGTTTCGAGTCATGGTGACGTTGATATTGCGAATCTCCATGACGTCGACTGAATATGCTGTCGCATTCGAGTAGGCTCTTTCCGTCTCAATTCACATACCATGTCTCGTGAACGGCTGCAGTACTGACCACAGTAATACACATGCGTAACGTCCTGCAAGTTGGGGATCTTGGTTCTCATTTGCTCCTTGACAGTCTCAATATCCTCGCGCAAGTTGATGCCAGAGTAGATTTCTAAACGAGGATCGTTCTTGGGAAGTTGGCTTGCTGACAGGTCCATCGGTCGGTTTGTCAGACCAATAATGCGGCAAAATGTGGATGCTGTGGGATAACTGAACAGATTGTTTGTGACAGCCCATCCGGAGATCCCACTAGCCCCGAAAACGAGCGCGACGCATTTGCTGGGAGGGTCCATGGTTGGGAAAGACCAGATCGAATGATATGCCAGCCAGTAACTTATCGCCAGCGGGAGGTTGAGATCTTGATGATGAGTGCCTTGAGAGCAAAGAGAAGAGTTGGGGTCAAAGAGACTTACGGAGCGCATGTCGCTTATTTATGACTGAGCAGATGGCCATGATACTTGGCTAGATCCTGATGGTCTAGACTCCGAGTCTTGAGTGTTTACCGGACAATACTGCCTACAGCAGACCTTGGACCGAGCTGTCGGATTTGAACCCTAGTCGCCCGTTGACTGGCTCGGGCCGCAGGGTTTGAACTGTGGAGTAACAGATAGAGTGCGAGTGGTCGAATCACATTCTCCAGCGAAGAAGCGCTAGACCGCTGCGACGAAGCGTCGGTGGGTAGGACGAAGTGAAGTATCTTATGAAGCCTGATTATCTTATTACTTACTTCACTTCTGAGCCTCTTGAATCGTATGCTTGAACATAGCAAGAGTCCCTAAGGAGTACCAAGGTACATATGGCCTAACTCAACAGACTGAGGAGGTTCAAGAAGGAGATATGCCTCAAGAAGACCAGCACCACGATAATGAGACCTGGCTACGATCTTTAACGAGAATTGAATGTGCTCAAGTCATCGTCTACCGAGAACAACGCTATTTAACCAATGCGAATCAATGCTGCCCTACTCCCCGCTTGCTTCAATAGGTAGCCCCAGAAATGTTTGGTCCCAAGTATGAAGCTTGTAGTCAGTCCACTAGCCTGACTCTCCACAATCTCGATGCGTGTCTATGCAGGGAACTATGAGACAAGAGAAAGTTTCATACAGTCAGTGCCTAAACCGTTACGCCCGATACAGAGAGACAAGTACCCAATTTGCCCAGTTGAGTCGGCTCTTGACTGTGCGTTGGAACTCGTTCTCAAGAAAGGGCCGGCGGGCCGCCCATCACGCGGATCGAGACAATTGATTGTCTTGGGGTGGTATCGGCAATATTTGAATTAAGATCAGTACTCGACAAAAAAAAAAGGCGTTTTTGAGGTTTGGAAGCTCGGTTGAAATATCCAATCTTGCGGAAAGTATCTGCACATATTGGGACAGACCAACTCCCTCTGAGTTTTGAAACACCAAAATCTCCACGCTCAAGTTGCGTTTACCAGCTGCTCCCGCTGACACAATTAGAAAATCGCATCAATATTTGCGTTAGGTAAGGTAGATAAAGTAGGTACCTTAAGTACTTTAAAGATCACTGCTATAAGTGCAAGACTTGTCTAAGGTAAGGTAGCTGAGAGCGTGATGTTCAATTCAAGAGCCGACCGGTAGCTTTTTAATAATACTTGTACCGAAGAACTGAGGATACTCCTTCACTTGTGTGTTGTTCAACTGACTTGCTCAAGTTCAAACTCCCTTCTTCGTCGCCACATGAGTGCTCAACGCATATCCTTTATGACGCCATTCAAGTCGTATCGCTTGATGCTTCCAGATAATCATTCATGTGTTCACGCTCATATTTTCCTATTCATTGAACCCCGAAATTTGTTCTTTTGTTTAGAAGCATGTTGATACTTGCAGCTATTTGTTCTCAGAGCCTTGCTGCAACTTGACCCGAGAACATTCTTATTGCCCACTGCAAAGGTAAGTCTTTCTCGGAGCTTAGGAGGGGTTCGAAAACTGTTCAATCAGAAGTTTCTCTATTGATCACCCTGGTCTTTATTTATTCGTCGTGCGTTGCTGAGTTTAGCCTAGATGAAGGAGTCGATCTGATGCTAATAAGAAGACAGACAGCAGTCGCCTGAAACAGAGGCAACCCAACTTAAGCTGCTGTCGAGGCCAAGTCTAACGCCCTGCTTGTCCTTTCACTACACCAAGAGATGGACGAGGCAACGAAACAATATCAGAGCTTCGGAAATTGTTGGTCATTGTTGTACCTCGTTGATTGACTTGCATTGGTGATTGAATTGGTTCTGAACCCTTGGAGGGCAGATCTAAATCTCCAACGAAAAGCTGTCTTTGATACTGCTGCGAATGCCATACCTTCGACTGCCTTCTGAGTGCGCATTGTTAAGACCTGAGTTACGCTAAGGCTCAAAATGGAAAAGGTTGCCATCGATACTTATTTTGCTTAAGCCCGAGGAAACACAGTTCAAAATGGATGGTAAGGTCCCCTGCATTCAAAAGATTCTGGACTCGTCTCTACATGCGATACCTAGTAGGCAGCAGCGTATGATACTACCTAGGTTGAGGCAGAGAGCTGTAATTGAGGCGACAGAGACTCCGCGCTGTACGGCAGTCTGGATTGACATGTTTGCAGTTGGCTTTGACGCTGCCTACCGTAGAATACCACCGATTGAATTGGCGGTCAAAATTGAAGTGCATGTCGAAGCGAACGCGAGCACGCGAGTCAATTGTAGACTGAAATTTCCCCGCATGCTCGATTGCAACCTCCCGCCGGCGACCAACGTAAGCGCTCGCCGGCTTGCGCCAGTAATTATTGCCGACCGGACTTCTTGAATAGCTCGCATCGGCTACAGTGACTTCCGAGCTCAGAGTCGCATCAATTCAACGGCAATATTTGCATGCTGAGAGTTGGGCTCAAATTTTGAAAATAAGATGGCGAAGCTAAGGAGTCAGCAAACTCTTGGCTTTCTATTGCGATGCAGTAGTAGGTGTGATCAGCGGGTGAGGGGCTTTCGGCTCGACATGACCGGTCTCGTACTCCGTGAAGATCATATTTCCGTGCCAACCTCAGACTCTGTGAGGCTCTCCGAGACTCTTGGCCGGGCTGTGCATGTTAGAGAACGTCCTTCAATGCGATGACTCTGTCTTGACAATGGCCATAACATGGCGTCATGAAATGTTGACAAAAGGAAGATTTTTCAGCGGAAACGACAGCACTTTTAGCCAAGAAACAGAGTGCCACACGATTCAACAGCTTTGCAACATGATCCGGCCCCTGAGTCAAAGCGCGCGCGGGAAACGGTACGAATGATGAACTGGAGCTTACTCCGCCCGAACGCCGATGTGCAACCAAATGGAAGCTGGAAACACTTGTTAATCGGGTGGGGTTGCCCCCGCCCAACAGGATGTCGCTAGAGGTGACGAGAGATGTTGACAGGGAAAGATTTGGCGAGGTCGTTTCAACCACACACGTGCTCCGCCTGGCCTGCCATTGAAGCTCCTGACATGCCGCCGACGACATATTGGAGAACTTTTTGTTTGTCCGTTGCCAAATAGGATTTGAAACCCCTCTTTTTGCCTGACTCTTGGCCTGTCTCCAGTGCGAGGAATAGAAGCAAAACCCGTGCCATCTAGACTCTTGTCTGTCATGTACGGCTAAACCTTCCCCTCTTCTCGCAAACTCGTCTGATCCTACCATCATCTCGCTTATTCTTTGCTCGAAAATCCCTCGTTCATCCCTGTCTCTGCTAAGATTTCTGCCAATCCCCAAGCTAGTCTTCGCCTTTCTCGCCTCCTCCTTCCCGTTTTCTGCAAGCTTCACACCTCTAGCTACTCTTGATCATCAACCAGAGCTCCTGTGAATGCTCTCTTAAACTGCCAAGCCTGCATCATGTGCTGTTCGTTGGTTTCTGAGGCTGACCTGGGCCGCATTCCGGCGGGTCATCTCTCCACACACACGGTGCTATGCCTGCTTGTTTAAGCTTGTCAGGACGATTTCCCGGCCCCAATCTACCTAATTCGGGCTTATCAGATGAGATCAGGAATATCGGTTCCTCAGTAATGAGTCTCTTGGAGTGTGGCAGTGCTGGTTCGGCCGGGGTTTGAGTTCTTTTGCTTTTGCCGCTCTGTCGGAAAGTGGAGAGCTATGATGAAGGTGAGGTTGGATGGTCAAGCTTGAAAGAGGTAGCCCGGCGAAAGCTGCCCTTGGAAGAGTATTCATATTCTCTGGGCGCCGCTTATTCGGCACGTCTTGCTTTCGAGCTCGACAGCACTTTCTCTTTTTCTGCCGGGCTGTACATGACATCCCTTCATGATGGCTGACAAGTTTCTCAGCCCCAACCCCCCACATGCGGACTCCCGTTCACGGGCCACGAGTGATGCCGACACTATTGCCCCGGATGGGTCCAATCCGTTTCTCACGCCGTCCGGGACCACCGCTGCCCCCAGTACCGCTGGTGCGAGCCTCGACCTTGAAGATGTTGAATCGTCTTTGAGGCCTGACCCAGGCACGGAGCGCGACTTTCACGTGGACAACAACCCCTTCGCGTTTTCCCCTGGTCAACTCAACAAATGCTGAATCCCAAGTCCCTCTCAGCATTCAGGGCGCTCGGCGGGCTCCGAGGTATTGCTCGTGGCGTTCAGACCGATGTACGCAGTGGTCTCAGCGTCGACGAAGCAGGCGTCAGATCAAGAATCAGTTTTAATGAAGCAGTCGACAACCACAACGATAGCAAACCGGTTTCACCAACGACAGAGAAGCATGTGCCGTCTTCTGGAGCACCGTTCGTGGACCGTACCCGTGTTTACGGTCGCAACGTACTGCCGCCAAAGAAGCCCAAGTCGATCTGGAAGCTCATGTGGATTGCGTTCAATGAAACGGTACTTATCCTCTTGACGGTTGCCGGAGTCATCTCTCTGGCCCTCGGACTATACGAGACACTCGGCGTTGAAAGGCCTGCAGGCGCACCGGCTTCTGTCGACTGGGTCGAAGGCGTCGCCATTTGCGCTGCGGTCATCATTGTCGTCCTCGTCGGATCCCACAACGATTGGCAGAAGGAGAAGGCATTCGTCAGGTTGAACACCAAGAAGGATGACCGTCAAGTCAAGGTCATTCGTTCCGGGAAATCAGTCATGATCAATGTCAACGAGATCCTGGTAGGCGAAGTGCTCCATCTGGAGCCTGGCGATATGGTCCCTGCCGATGGAATCCTAATCGAAGGACACGAAGTCAAGTGCGACGAATCTTCGGCTACTGGTGAATCCGATGTTCTCAAGAAGACTGCTGGCGACCAAGTCATGAAGCTTCTGGACTCTAAACACAACAATCATGACGACCTGGACCCCTTTATCATCTCAGGATCCAAAGTCCTCGAAGGTACGATCTTTATCCCCTATCCTTCAAACTTATAAGCTGATAAAATGCAGGTATGGGAACCTACGTTTGCACCTCTGTTGGTGTCCACAGCAGCTTCGGCAAGATCATGATGTCTGTACGGTACGATATCGAAGCTACACCTCTACAAAAGAAGCTTGAACGCCTTGCCATCGCCATCGCCAAGCTCGGTGGAGGTGCATCGGCTCTGATGTTCTTCATCCTGCTTTTCAGATTCGTTGCCAGTCTTCCTGGTGATGACCGACTGCCTGCTGACAAGGCGTCGACTTTCATGGACTTGCTTGTCGTTGCTATTGCCATCATTGCTGTAGCAGTACCTGAAGGCTTGCCGCTGGCCGTCACTCTTGCCCTCGCGTTCGCGACAACGAAGCTGCTCAAGGAGAATAACCTCGTTCGCGTACTTCGATCTTGCGAAACCATGGGTAACGCAACGACAATCTGCTCGGATAAGACAGGCACTCTGGTATGATTCGTTCTTCCTGATATGAACCGAGCAGCAACTGACAGTGTACAGACAACAAACAAGATGACGGTCGTGGCCGGCACCTTCTCCACCACTAGCTTCACTGCATTGTCCCAGTCCGACAATGAGAAGACATCGGGGACACCTCACGTCACTGCATGGGCCGCTGGCTTGCCTACAGGAACCAAGGAACTTATCGTTCAGTCGGTTGCTGTGAACTCCACGGCCTTTGAGGGTCAAGAGGATGGTCAGGCAACTTTCATCGGATCTAAGACCGAGACAGCCCTCTTACAGTTGGCGAAAGATCACCTTGGTCTCCAGTCGCTTGCTGAGGCACGCGCCAATGAGCAGGTCGTTCAGATGCTTCCCTTTGACTCCGGAAGGAAGTGTATGGCCGCGGTCATCAAACTTCGCGACACCTCGAAGGGATATCGTGTGCTGGTCAAGGGTGCCTCTGAGATTATGCTTGGGTACTGTTCATCTAAGACTCAGCTGGAGAATTTGACTGAAGAGCCCATGACGGTCACCGAGCGACAATCTCTCGAATCAACCATCAACGAATACGCTCGACGATCCCTCCGGACCATTGGCATCGTTTACAAGGACTACCCCCAGTGGCCGCCTGCAAACATGCCTTCAGAAGATGGGCACGTCAAGCTTGAGTCTCTACTGACGCCTTCTGACCTAGTGTTCCTCGGCATCGTTGGAATTCAAGATCCCGTCCGAGAAGGTGTTCCCGAGGCGGTCAGGCTTGCGCAGCATGCTGGCGTCACAGTCCGTATGGTCACGGGCGACAACATCGTCACCGCTCAAGCTATCGCCACAGAGTGCGGCATCTTCACCGGCTCTCAGGGAGTGATCATGGAAGGACCAGCTTTCAGGAAGCTTTCTGATGAGGACATGAATAACATTCTTCCTAAGCTACAGGTATTGGCTCGTTCGTCTCCTGAAGACAAGCGGATTCTCGTGACGAGATTGAAGGCGCTTGGAGAGACGGTCGCTGTCACAGGTGATGGTACGAACGATGCTCCCGCACTCAAGGCCGCAGATGTCGGCTTTTCGATGGGCATCTCGGGCACCGAAGTGGCCAAGGAGGCTTCCGCAATTGTTCTCATGGATGACAACTTCGCATCGATCGTGACTGCACTCAAGTGGGGTCGCGCAGTCAATGATGCCGTTCAAAAGTTCCTTCAAGTATGTTCCATTTCGCTTGAGGCGACTAGTCACCTGGCTGTCGACTCCAGTCACTCAAATCTGCATCACCAGGTTGCTAACTGTTCACGATTAGTTTCAAATTACCGTCAACATCACTGCTGTTCTCTTGGCGTTTATAACAGCCATGTATGACCCTCATATGGAGCCGGTGCTGAAAGCTGTTCAACTGCTTTGGGTCAACCTCATCATGGACACATTTGCTGCGCTTGCACTGGCAACGGATCCTCCGACTGACAAGATTCTCGACCGCCCTCCTCAAAGAAAGGATGCACCACTTATCACGATCAACGTAAGCCTTCCTCCGTTGCTGATTCCTGCAAACACAGCTGACAGCCGACTTTAGATGTGGAAGATGATTATTGGACAAGCCATTTTCCAGCTCATCATCACACTCACCCTTTACTTCGCCGGCCCCGAGATTCTCAACTACGACAGAAATAGCGAGGATCAAATGCTTCAACTCGATACGGTCATTTTCAACACCTTTGTCTGGATGCAAATCTTCAACGAATTCAATAATCGACGCCTCGACAACAAGTTCAACGTGCTCGAGGGTGTCCACCGCAACCAATTCTTCATTTTCATCAACCTCCTGATGGTCGGTCTTCAGGTGGGAATAGTGTTTATTGGCGGTCGCGTGTTTGAGATCAAGGAGGGTGGCCTCAACGGAACTCAGTGGGCTATCTCCGTCGTGATCGCCCTCATGTCTTTGCCATGGGGTGTGCTGGTTCGTATTTTCCCGGATGTCTGGTTTGAAAGAGTGGCTGTTTTCGTCGGAAAGCCTTTCGTACTGGTGTACAGATTCCTCGGGAGAATGTTTGCTCCTGTTGGCCGACTGTTTAAGCGAAAGCGACGAGATGCTACCGCAGCAGATGAAGAAGTACCTGCTACAATTGTTGTCGCCCCACCCGAGGAAAAGGGGCAGCAGCTTTGATGGAAACCCCCATAAGCGGAAAGTGGCATGGCATGGCATGGTAGAGTAAGGCACGGAAAGACCTCTATCATAGAGGCGACGTTTATTGATTTGCATGAAATGTTTGGGCGGTATTTTCGTGACATCCTCGAGGGTGTCTTCCATGGAGTCTGATCCTCGAACAGGTGACTCGCTTCACGTCGGATTTTTGGAACATACAACGACTGAAAAGACTGTCGCTATATACAAGTAATCGTAAAAGAAGAAAGAAATAGTAAAAGTTTCGACTGCCACCCCCAAGAGTGCACATTGTTGCCAATTCGAGTCTCCATTGATTCAAGTTCTGAAGTTAGAATTGGTATCTTCGAAGGTTTTAGCATCCTCGTTGAACAATGCATGAAGTGCTCACATAGTGTTTTTGCACCTAGGTAGACTAAGCTCCGACTGATGACAAAAGATTTCTGGACGGAAACAAGTATTCTAGCTCCTTTCTCTATAAATAGTTGATGTAATTACGACTTTTCATAGCACCACACATTAAGCCCATCAACCAACTTGCCCTACACCATCTCTGGACAAGATGTATTATCGCGAATGTGGATAGCCTTCGCTCACAAACCGCAGACGATGCGTACTCTAAGAATTTTCTACCCCTTTGACGACAACAGGGAAACTTCCGGTGGAAACGAGGTCGTCTGCGTTCCAGAACAGAAGATACGTGTCTTCCCATTCAGATGGCTTCGCCCAGAACTGCGCTTCCAGCTGTGAATTATTGTTGTACACCAGCTGTGTGGCAAAAAGCGCCCACCCATAGGTAGTCTGGTTAACAGTGACTACCTGAGGGGTTTGAGTAAGACCCATTGCATTATCATCGCTGTCGGTGATGGTCAAAGAGCCAGCGGATGTTCCGTTCACGAACGTGCCATTGACCTTCCAGTTCTCACCCGTGATGGACGGAAGATCCCAAGTGATCGGGACAAGGTTGGCATTGGCATCGTCAGGGGTCTGAGTGATGTACAGATATCCTATGTGGTGAAGTTAGCAACGCTCGTTGTTACCCCAAAACTCGATTTACCGATGACTGGAATACGTACCGTCATCCAATCCATAAGCAATAGGCCATGAAGATGAGTTCGTTCCGTAAGCGTAAAGTGTTGCGTTTGTTTCGGCCTTTCGCTTGACATTGACGTTCCACGAGGGAGAGATAACTGAGGCACAGGTGAGACCGGCCTGCAGGAGAGCGAGAACTCCAACATTGGACAAATGCATTTTGGTAACGACTGAATGAATGTAAGAACCTTTGGCGAGATCGGGGGCTGAATGGACAGGAATGCGGCCGGGTTAAGTCATAAATCCAGCAACGAAGAACGCGGAGCACATAGATGTCGCTTCACATAGCAGAGACTTTCCAGGTTGGCGTAATATCTTAAAGACCGCGGAGTTTACGATTTACACCCAACCCACAAGGAGATGCTAAGCATTGCCCCCCCACATTGCCGATTTCGAGATGCCGCTTGCCCGGTGATCGTCGTTGGTTCTTTTGGCAAAGAGGGGCAATTCCGAGCTCGTAAACGCAATCGAAGCCCACCCTCGGGAAGCACAGACAACAAAATAAACAAGTCAGCGTTGTCAAAGTTGTGGATTTATTCCTGACTAGGAAGGCTCTGATGTTTCTACCCCTGGAGAAATGGGGCCGTGCCGGGATCCTCCATCTGAAGTTCTGTTGCGGCTGTCATTCTTCCAACGTTGTGGGTGCTGGTCAGCCTTATTGCACGGCTTAAGGTGAGTGGCTAGATCCATCATCACCCGCATCTCATTTAACGGTGAATCAACCATAATGCCCACGGCCACTCTGGAAATAGACAGTCCCATCTGACCCGTCCTCACAGCCCCACCGATGCAGGCTTTCTTCTCACCTCACCGGCAGGTTTGACGTGTAGTCGACGTGTAATCTATCGCGGCCTGCTGGGCAGAGGAGGTTATCCCGGTGCGGAATCACCGTACTATGTGGGACAACTTAGTCTCTGCGAGGCAGAAACTCTGTTTGCACCCACAAGACGACAGTCATCTTGCTCCGCAAGAACGCCCGAACCGACGGCAAAATCCGTCTTTTGTTGTTAATCACCAAAGCCCACATCCCGCATCATGAAAGGGGGAGAGAATCAATTGTCCAAAGAATTGCGAAGAGAGGTACGGAGACGCCAGATATTCAGGGTTGTCCCCAACTTCTCAGTGACCATCGAAACCCAAAAGGATACAAATGAGACCAGCAGACGGGGCAGATTTCGTTGTGTTTTCCCCAACCACTCTTTCTTTAATCGTTAACTTCAACACTCGTTTCTCACTGTTTCGGCTGTGAGCTAATAGTCTTTCGTTGTTTCTTATCTGTTAACACTATGGTTTGCGGGAAGCTTCTCGCCACTTGGGCAGTAGCTGTTATTACTGGTGCCACTGCAGCTTGTACATCAAACAGACACCAGACCGCCGGTGATGCTGCTGATGTATCCCCAGTCACCGAGGCTGTTGCCAGTCCAAGCTCGTCTAGTTCATCTGACTCATCTGGTTCAACTGGTTCCGGTGCCGCCTGCGTCAACAGTCCTTCGAACAGAGCTTGCTGGACTGAAGGCTTCGACCTATCCACAAACTACTACGATGAGGTCCCGGATACAGGAGTAGTGAGAGAATATTGGTTCAATGTCGAGAATGGCACCGCCGCTCCAGATGGATACGAGATGCCAGTGCAGCTCATCAACGGATCATTCCCCGGCCCAACCATCATTGCTGACTGGGGTGACACTGTTGGTACGTACTTACCTACATACAGAGACACGAGCCTACTTTAAGTGTTCTTGACTTGAAGAGCTAACACTGAATTTCGACAGTCGTCCACCTAACGAACTCGCTTCAGACAAACGGTACCGGTCTTCACTTCCATGGCATCAGACAGAATTGGACGGATCAAATGGATGGTGTTCCTAGTATCACTCAGTGCCCCATCGCCCCCAACGACACTTACACCTACGAATGGCGAGCTGTTGAGTACGGCACCGGTTGGTATCACTCTCACTTCTACGTTCAAGCCTGGGATGGAGTCTTTGGTGGCATCACTATCAACGGACCGGCTTCGGCAAATTACGACGTCGACTTAGGTCACCTCTTCCTGAACGACTGGTACCACGTGAGTTGAATGCTTGAATTGTTTGGCAAGAACTCAAGAACTTTTGATTGACTTTTCCACCTAGCAAACGGCAGATGAACTCGTTACCAAAGCTGCTACGGGAGGACCCCCCACAGCAGTCAACGGTCTGATCAACGGTACCAACACCTTCAACGACACCATGGGCTCTAGATTCGAAACAGTGTTCGAACCCGGAACCAGGTACCGTCTTCGCCTAGTCAACGCCGCCGCAGATAACCACTTCCGTTTCATGATCGACAATCACACCATGGAGATTATCGCAACAGATTTTGTCCCCATCGTCCCGTATAACGCCACCCAGTTGAGCATTGGTATGGGCCAGCGCTACGATATCATTGTGGAGGCCAAGGACCTGACCAACGGTGATTTCTGGCTGCGATCCATTGCACAAGAGTCCTGCTCCGAGTCTGATGCTGTTGACGATGTCAAGGGTATTATTCGTTACTCCAACTCTTCTACCTCGGACCCCACGACCTCGGCCTACAGTTACACTGACTCGTGCTTGGACGAGGCATCCTCAAACCTTGTGCCTTACCTCGCCATCAACGCGTCTGACACTTACATCAGCGCAGATGAGAAGGTTGCCGTTGAAGTTACAGACAATGCCCTTCTCTGGACGATGAACAAGACTTCCATGCATACTCAATGGGAGTACCCCACCGCTATGCAAATCTCGCAGAAGAACTCGACTTGGCTCACGAAGCAAAACGTTATCCACCTGCCTGACGCTGACAAGTGGGTGTACATGGTCATTCACTCGCCTTTTGCTCAGGACCATCCCATGCATCTTCACGGCCACGACTTCTGGGTTCTAGACTCTGGTTACGGTAACTTTGACAGCACTCAGACTGACCGTCTGACCTTGGTAAACGCTCCCAGAAGAGACGTAGCTATGATGCCAGGCAGTGGATATTTGGTCATCGCGTTCAAGACGAACAACCCTGGTGTAAGTACCTCTTCGATCACATTAAGTTGCTTCCAGATCTTCAGACCACTGACTGCCGTGTAATTCAGGCTTGGCTGATGCACTGCCACATTGCGTGGCACACCTCGGAGGGTTTCGCCGTGCAAATCGTTGAGCGAGAGTCGGAGATCACCTATGACACGGATGTGCTGAACCAGACCTGCGCCAACTGGATGAACTACGTGGTCCAGTCTGACTTGAATCAATATGATTCCGGTGTCTAAGGCTTGAGGCTAGTAATATCGAATGATTAGGCGCACTCAAGGCTCATAGAGGTCCATAATACAACCTAAAGGGCAGAGAGGGCAGAAAGTATTCCATGATGTAATAGAAGCTTTTCACTTAAGCACCTATCTATGAGGCTTGGACTACGTATCGATTGTCATGGTCTCCCTTGAGAAATTCAGCCCACTCTCATATACTAAACCCGCTCAATAGTTCAGTTGAGATTCGATGCCTGCATTGGTTTGTGCACGCACACACAGCAGACATCACTCCCAGTGGAATTGCTCGGGTTCATTGCTAATTGGCGAGCAATTGCTCCAACGATTACTAAGAGGGCATGCCCTGCATCTATATGATCAGCAGGACCAAGCGTGACGGATGTGTATAAAGTAGTGTCATGGACCAACGTGGGGTAGTGTCCATTACAAAATATTACTATCTCACTTTCGAGGGAAGCCAAGTGAGCAAGAAGTGGGATGCCGCCTCTTGATTGCTTACATCTGCAGCCTGATAACGTATCTCAACATATCACTATCATGCAGAACACCTCGTCGCCAATAATTGTCTGATAACATGACTTGGTCGCATATTCCTAGTACTGACTCAAGTAAGCTTAAGACATCTCATAAGCAACTGTGTTGTTCCGCCATCGGCAAGCTCCACCACGAGGCTTTGCGACCAACTCTTCCTGCTTCAGGTCGTCAGCGCCGACTCCGAGCATTCCCCGAAACCCCCCAACTGCAGCGTTGCGCTATCAGCTGAACTAGATAATGATGGACAGCTCTATCGGCATTCAGACGTGGTTTGCCGCACCACATTCGGGAATAAGATGATATCTTCGGGTCCTTCTTTTCCGGACTGAGAGATAACGACTACCGGGCCCAACCAACACCCCAGTCACCTTCCTGCAATGGCATGGTTCTCGGCGTAACGCAGCATTTGATTCGCCTGAGCAGCAACGGCTTGACGATCGCCACATACTTATCGATGGGGAGAATGGGGAGTTCTCCAACATGCTTAATATCTCCACGCGATCCTTACACCCCATTATATATAGGTGCGTCATAGACAGCCGTGATATCAGTAAAGGGGTTTCGACGTGCAGTCCCATATAATGATGGCCGAGCCACTCGTCCCAACTACCATTATAGCCTGAAGTTGCAGCCGAGTCTCCTCACGCCATCACCATGAGCTCCGACGGAAAGATCGATGTCGAAAAGGCCCCAAGCTTTGGTGGTGGTCAGTTCGAGGTATTGGTCGGAGAGGTCAAGGACATCAAGAACGCTGATGCTGCGCTGGAATTCCTTCGAGACGGGGGGGAGGTCACACCCATGACAGCGGAGGATGAGCGCCTCTTGAAGCGCAAGATTGACTGGCGAATCGTTCCTCTCATGTTTGCGTGTTACATTCTCCAGTATCTCGACAAGACTTTGATCAACTACGCGAACGTCATGGGGTTGCAGAGCGACACCAACATCACTGGCGATCAATACTCTCAACTGGCCATGATATTCTACGTAAGCTATCTAGCATTCGAGTTCCCTCACGCTTGGGGCATGCAGAGATTCCCAACAGCAAAATACATTGGGATGATGGTCTGCATGTGGGGTACGGTGTTGGCAACTACATCAGCCTGCCACAACTGGGCCGGGCTAGTTGTGACCAGAGTCCTTCTAGGCGTTTTTGAGAGTGCTGTTGCTCCCTCACTCATCGTCATTACGACCATGGTCAGTTTTTGTTGTATTTTCGCGTCCTGTAATCTTCCTAACGTTTCGTCTACAGTGGTACAAACGTCAAGAACAGCCCCCTAGGATGGGCATCTGGTATCTCGGCACTGGTGGCGGCACCATCGTCGGCTCCCTCATTTCTTTCGGTTTTCAGCACTACCACAGCTCCGGCTTTACCTCATGGCAGATCATGTTTCTCATCTGCGGCCTGATCACCATTGCCATCGGTATTACGGTAATTCTAATTCTTCCGGATAATCCGATGAGCGCGCGCTTTCTCTCCCGTGAGGAGAAAATTTGGGCTATCGAGCGATTAAGAAGCAACCAAACTGGCGTCGAAAACAAGCGATTCAAGCGCGAGCAGGCAATCGAGTGTTTCACAGACCCACAAACCTACCTTTTGGCGCTCATCACCATCGCTTCAAATGTGCCCAATGGAGCCGTCTCCTCATTTCAGGCCACCATCATCAAGGGCTTTGGGTATACATCCAAGGAGACTGCACTTCTATCTATCCCTTCAGGTGCAGTCAGTATCGTCTCGATTCTGGCGGCTACCACCGTGGCAGGAAGGTTCAATCAGAGAGCGATCAACATTATTTGCCTTCTAATACCCGGTGTCATCGGAGCTGCGCTGATGGCTTTCCTCCCAGAGGACAATAAAGCTGGTAAACTGATTGGAAATTACATGACGAATTGTATCGGGGCAACTTTGCCTTTGTTGTATTCTCTTGTTGGTGCCAACTATGCAGGTCACACTAAGAAGGTACGTGCGACTTTCTCAACAATCTTTCGAATCCAGAACTAATGCATGAAAACGTAGGTCACTATGAACGCCACTTTGCTCATCTGTTTCTGTGTTGGTAACATTATCGGGCCCTTGACATTCACGGCAGAGTCTGCGCTCGGATACCTCCCAGCTAAGACAGCAATCATCGTAACCTGCGGTTTGGCGATGGTATTCACGTTGATGCTAAGGTACTATTACATCTGGGAAAATAAGCGACGGGATGGACTTGTTCAAGCAGGGGAGCTTGGCCACTTGAAGGATGTCGAGTTCAGCGATATGACTGATCGTATGAACAAGGAGTTTAGATACACCCTTTGAGGTTATCTTTATCTTGACAATGTCTGGTTGAGCCGACGGCACGAGGCCCTTGGAGCATATCTTCATTTGAAAACTACACGCAGAGAACCTTTGAATGTCAAGCAGCTTTCCACATGCGCATTTACTTTAAGCAAGAGCTTGACAAAGGAGGAAATTTGCGGCGTAATACGACGAGCTCTTACGTAACTTCCCAGCTTACCCAAAGTCTTCTCCAAAGGCCATTTGATCTCAACTTCATATTGCCCTTTTGATAGAGGTCAAGACTCAACAGAATCCGAGGCGACGAGGTGTCAATGATTCGCTCGCGAGAAGCTCGGTGTGAGCACATAAGTTTAGCCTAACACCGCGCAATTTGAATGATTACCAAAGCTAGTCACAAAAGTACGCGGGCTAAAGTCTGCATACTTGGGATTTGGAAGGTTTGGACTCAGAGTTTGAATCCTCCGGTCCTGTTGAGGAACAAGCCCTCTGGATCAACCGAAGTCCGCACTCTTTCCGCCAACTCTCTATTCTCTGGCTTCAATCTTCCCCAGTAGTCCTGTCGAAAGTAACCATCGTTCATGAACAGGGGCCTGTAGGCGTCTGGAAGAGTGCCGTCTTGGACAAATCCATCAACACGAGACTTCATACCAGTGTACAATTTGACCATTGTATCATCAACTGCAGCGTCATCCAGTTGGAACAAATAGGAGTAATCAAACTCGAAGATGATTCTGTCGAACCCATCGTCGAGATCCAGCAGATCGCCACCTCTCTCTCGGCTGATCCGGGCTAGTGACTTCGGTATGGGCTGAAAAGCCATCGAGGCAATGATCCCAGCTATTCCTGACTTTACAGCTGACGTGTTGTACCAATGGTCATAGTAAGATCGCATCACCTTTGCGCCTGCTGCAGCTGGCGGAAGAGGTGTCGTCTCCGTAGCGATAGTGTAGACACTACCTTTCAAGACGAAGACGTTGTTCGCTTTCAGCAAGTCGGTGTAGGACCTCGTCTTACAAGTGTTGAGCGACGATTGGATATCTAAGAATTCATCAAATACTCCAGATGGAGGTTGTGGCCCGTCGTAGAACAGAAAAAAGATCCAGATGTTGACGCTGTTCAATACAGTCAACTCCGAAGTTGCGATGATGGCTGCCTTTGGATCATGATAATTCTCAGTAAAGTTTCGAATCGCCGCGAGTATCTCGTCTGTTTTGTCGCCGCCAAATACCAAGTTCCCGCCCCATATCTGCCCCTTGTGTTAGCAGATTCTGTCGCCAATGGGAAGTCGCTGGTCGAGGGACCACAGCACTTACCTGTCCTATTGCATGCGCTTGCAAGTTATACCTTGTTACGATTCCGAACGCATTGCCACCTCCTTTTATGGCAGCAAAAAGGTCCGGATTGGAAGTATCGGATGCGGTTACTATCGATCCATTCGCAAGTACCATCTCCGCTGACACTATATTGTTCGATGCCCAGCCGTATTGGGTGCTGAGAAAACTGAGCCCCCCTTTGAAGAACGTTAGATACCTCATTCCATACAGGCGTCAAAGTTAGACATCAAGATACCTCCTAGAAGATAGCCACCCACGCCGACATTCCCGATGCGGCCCCCAACGACAGTCACTCCAGTTCCCTCGAGAGCTTCGTGAACCTCTTCCCATTTGTTTCCGGGGCCGACGCTGACCGTATTGTTCTCCTTGTGGTACACGACTTCTTTTAGCCCTTTGGTAGAGATCAAAGGGCCACCTTGTACGCTTGCAAAGTAGTTGTTCGGGTTATGTCCTCCCGACTTAACAGCAAACTGTTCTTTGTTATTGAGCAGGGCAGTGACAATAGTTGAAACCTCTATAGCACTCGTTGGAACCAAGATACAGCCTGGCTTCAGGTTGCTGCAAGCAGTCGACCTAATGGCGGTTAGGATAATTCAGCGCCGTATTGAGGAACCTACCAATAGTTTTGTTGCTCCTGGGTGTACTCTATCTCAATCCCCTGGTATTGTTGGATCTTCGTCGATGCGGATAGCTGTTGACATGTCGCGGATAGAGACTCAACACATATTGCCAACCCTAAACACACAAAGAGCGCCAATAGCCTTGATGAATCAATGTTCATGACGGGTAGGATGACAAGAGTTCAAGGTCAGATGCAAAAGTCTCGCGAGCGTGGTCTGGAGGAGGGGGCAGGACAGGACTTTTTTATGTAAATATACTAGACACATTATGTAACAAGCACAGCTGAGGTCAGACGGGTCTTCCCTCTGCATGTACCAATCAAACTTCCTGAGATGCAATTTCTGTCAAGTTCGACACCTTCCGTAAATGTAGACATTGGGGCGCCATGATGCTGGTTCATATAGCATCGCTTGTCAAGTGGATCAGACGATGCAGTCGCATAAGTGCTGACAATCACACACCTTCTTATCCAGCCACATCGACTACAATAGGAAATCACATCGGCGGGCTGCTAGGTACAACGATGCTGATGATCGTTCAAAGGCTCAGATTTTCGTATTTTCGGCTGTGAACGTTTCGCGTACTCGTGCTTTTCGGGAGTCCACACAACCCCGCGATGAAAAGGCAAATGTTGAGGGAACATCGCTGTACTAAAGTTTCAGCTCTACATGAAAGCTGACCCTAAGCGAGTGGCATTCTACTCAGACTATTGAAAGGTCTGGGTAGCTGATAGGAGCAGTCATTACTTTTTTCTTCGCTGGCAACATCGATCATTCGTCAATGCCTGGTGTCATGGATTTCGTATTCATCCACTGCAAAGTACAAAACCTTCCTCTGCCCTCCTGCAGGAGAACTTGTGATCTTCTAGAAGGTGATAGGACGCTGATACATTGGTGGCCACCTTGGGCATCAAGAATCAATAGACATCAATAGACGTGGGGGAGTGTTGCAACGCAGGAGGTCCGAAGCCGCCTATCTACCCTGTGTGTGGATCCCCTGGTGGTGTGTTGCGTGACTGTTTGACATGGCCCAATGAACGCTTCGATTGTTGAGCTATTCACCGCAGTGCATGCGGAAGTCGGAGTCGCGGGTTAGCGAGTATACCTTGTATATCTGCATATTCCAAATCACAAAGGATGCTATCAGCTCGTTCATGTAGAATACCTAGATAAGAGGTCATGTTTCTTAGGGACATGGGGTTACATTTACTTCCCCTTTTAGCGAGCTGACAACAAGTGATAGTAGCGATGCCCTTCTCGGTATAGTTGCCTGGCAAGATCCTTGCATAATACATTGATTTACTACTGTGCTCCTCCGCTTACTGCTGCAGGTGCATGGTCAGTACAGCACAGGCATGATTGATGATGGGCTACATGCGACATCAGCCAATATCAGATGTACCGTATTTTCGTTGGTTACTGATCCAGTGGTCGAGCTGCCAACCGCATCGGAGAACGTTGCGAACAAACCAACCGATTGCCCAATGATACCCTGGTTGTGTCTATTCCGCAAGTTTCTTAGTGTGTTGGTCAGATCATTTCATTCTCCGTTTGGTGCACGTTGCGACAGATAAGTGGCTGATTCCCAATTTTCATGAATGCATGGCTGTGCAAAACACTGGCAACTGGGCCCATACCGGAGCACGAACGAGAAGCATCGTTATATCCGACCGGCGACCGATTTTTCAGCTGTGAACTTCGTATACCCCATTGACTTGGCGGGGCGACATCTCTTTACCTTGAGGTAGCCAAAGATTACAGCTGATGAGACCCCTTTCCCACGATCTTCTCCGTAACTTGACATGCAGCGGAACCTGAGATGGGATCATGGGTTTCCATTACTTGCAAATGAAGGCAAGGTATCTGCTGCGGAAGTTCGGTTTACTTACCCGCTGAATGTCGAGGTTCCCTAAGCACCTCCGTGTCGAGATCCACTCCGATGCAAAGACGACCAACAGAGACAGGGTTGAAGGACGAAGCGAGGGCATATGACATGGAACCAACTTGAATGAATAAAACGTACGATCGGACTCACAGAGCTTGGTTGGCATCTCTCCTTCCTGAGTATTGTATTACTTCTATTTTATTTGCATTGTCACCGTATTTAACACATACTGACGAAAATGTCAGCTTACGACGTCAAGGACAAGTTCGCCATTGTCACAGGCGCCGGTTCTGGTAAGTCAACACCACGTCCCAGACCGCAAGACATGAGATTCCACGCAAGAAATCTAATGTATGTTGAATAGGTATTAATCATGCATTCGTTGAACTTCTTTTGGAGGCAGGATGCTCAGTCATTATTGCCGACATTCAGTTAGGGCCCGAAGCTGAGGCGACCATTACTAAACATTGCAAAGACTCTGTTGCTACTCGTGGCGCTCACGCCATCTTCACGAGACAGATGTCTCCGACTGGAACCAAATCAGCTCACTGTGGGCGACCGCACTCGAAACTTTTCCGCAGGTAGACATCGTCTGCAATGGCGCGGGCGTCTATGAGCCTCCATCAAGTTGTTTCTGGAACATACCTGGGGTTTGTCCCCTTGCACAGGATCCTATTGATGCCAAAGTCGGCCAGTACAAGACGTTCGCGGTGAACACCACTGGACCAATCCGGTTGGCTCAAATCGCCATTGATTACTGGCTTCAAAATCGCAATATCGAAGGCAACCTCCTTTGGATTGCAAGTTTGGGTGGTTACGTGCACTCAATGCACACGCCAATGTACTTTGCCAGCAAAGCTGCGATTGTAAGCATGGTCAAGAGTCTTGGTGGCCTCAGAAAGGAGCTGGGTATCCGAAACGCTGCAGTGTGTCCTGGAGCGGTCTACGTGAGTGAACCTGAGCCTGCGTTACATCGCGCTATTTTCTTCTCGTATTCCCTCTTTCATACCGATAGCATACTGAATGTCCGCAGACTCCCATCTTTCATCCCGAGTATTGTCGTGATAGAGTGCGTCCCGACGACCTGACTCTCACTCCACAGCAATGCGCTGCTGTCCTGATGCGCGTTCTTTGCGAGCCTGAATTTGGCGACGGAAATGTTGTGGAGACGATGTTGGTTGGAAGCAAGGATGACAATTTTGTCAGCGTCAGGGAGGTACCACTGCATCTGCTCTATCCCACCGCCGGGCCTGTGGGACAGGACAACCACCTGTTGGAAGAGGAGGTTAAGATGGTCAAGCAGCTCAAAGAGCATGGCATGAGGGCCTGATATTTAATATCTATACCTTGAGTAAAATTGATTACGAATGTACCGAGTGCAACCAGGGTAAAGCTCCCCAGGCTTTTGAGACCAATTGTACCAAGAGGCGGTCTATTCGGAAGACATACTTATCCTCGAGTGCCTTGGTCATTCAAGTTCACGTCGAGGGCATGGGTTCTAAAGGACTAGGCGGGTACATGTTGTGGGCCCAGGCTAGAGCGAGTGCCGTGACGAGTTACGTCTTTTTTCTTGCTGTCAATATTAGAATTATAATTGTAACTTCTTTATTCAGGACTCGCATTCGTGAGAACCACTCATGATGAATCCTCAATCATGGCACGTGTTATTCTACGGGAACTTCTCGCCCAGTCCGGATTTTCACTTGCGGGCCGCGATGGGCCTGGATCACTCGAAGAACCACACTCAAACCCAACTCCACCGCACTAAGACACTTGAAGCTCCCTCGATGGCCGCACTGATAATTCTGCCCTCTAACGCTCCACAACAAGCAGAAATCACTCGTGCATTGGAAATATCGACGCTTTCCCTAGCGCAAACCTGCATCCACAACAGCTCCAACGGAGTCTGGCTCATCTGGAAGGGTGGCCGAGTTGGTTATGGCGCCAGGTTAAGGTCAGCTTAACATCTGTTTCCTGGTGGGGCAACCCGCGCGAGTTCGAGTCTCGTCCCTTTCAAGATCATCTTTTGCTTCGCTCAACTCAGGTACATTCCCTTTCGCTAGGTACCTAACTGTTCGCTCTTTTGTCTGGAGGCTGCTTACAGGGATCGTCTTTGCAACAAGTCCTGTTAGTAGTTGGCCTTCAGTGTGTAAGGTAGGTCATACAAATGTTTGTTACACCATGTTGGCCTTGCCGATCAAGCTCGCGCGAGGCCTGTCTATCTGCCGACTATAAAGCCGGAACTACATGAATGCCTCGAAATCTGGCATAGACTACATAGAGACTGGTTCTATTTGGCATGTGACTTATCATCAGACGTCTCTGTCGAGACTCTGTCCGTGGAATACTCGGTACTCATTGTGAATCAAGAGTCCTTGTTCACCTCGCCGTAAACTACATCATGAAGAGCATCAGCCTTCAGTCTTTAACGAACCCCTGACGATGTGGGTACGTGCATTTGATCTGATTTCATCTCCCGCTGCAGCTTAAAATAGAGTTCGCAGCGTGTATCAGCACGGCCTCGCTAGATTCAAAAAGCCGAACCATGGCAAAGTCAAAATACTGTCACACCGAGTAATGTAGCATGGAATTCAGGATAAAAGAACAGGAACCCCATTTCATCCGGATGTCTGATGCCTACCCCTCGTGTTCTCCATTCAGTGACACGCAGGAAGAAAAGACACTGCGCACCCATCCGATTCTAACTTCAGACAACCCGTCACACTGGGCAGAGAACTAAGAGGAATCGAAAGCCATAACATTCTCATTCGCACCAAGGCTCAACTGCCGAGCTTCCCCGCGTCATCTGACTACGCCAAGGCGTCCAAGACTAGGATCACCATCGCAGGGCTTCCAAATCTCCGAAACAACATGGGCATCCTTCTACAACCTCTCGTTGACTACCATCCATGGAACCAGCTTGGAGCATTGACGACACTAACACTCGCTTGTCTCGGTGCTCTAGGACTTCTAGCTTGGCATTTCCGCGAAGATAAGCCGTATGCGGGCTTCAAGTTGATCGGCAAAGAACGAGGAGAGTGGTCGTACGAGAAGGCGAGGGAAAGATGGAACAACAATGCCTTTGAGCTCTTGCGGACAGGGTTCGAGGAAGTATGCTGAAACCGACTTCAATCTTTGAGACTTCATAATATTGACTTGATTTCGTAGACAAAGGGCCGGCCATTTCAAGTTATATCCCCGTTTGGTCCCTTAGTGATGCTGCCCCCGAGTCTGTGCGACGAAGTTCGCAATGACAAACGCTTAACATTCACCGGGTTCATCGACCGAGTAAGTCTGCAGAATAGGGAACTTTGAAATTACCAAAGGTCAGGGCCTATGAGTAGAATTCTTCTAACCTTGGCCGTCACAGCAATGGCTCACGCGGTATCCCGGTTTAGATATCCTGCAAGATGGTCTCAAGGAAGAAATCATACAAGAAGCCATGCGGAAGAACCTCAACCAAGAACTTGGTAAGTGAGCTCCTCGAAAGAGCGAGAACCAGGCAAAGACATCAAAAGCGCTAATGCTGATCTATATCTCAGTGTACTTGACGGAGCGACTCCGCGAAGAGGCGTCTCTTATCCTCAGAGAACAACTCCCGTCAAGCAAAGAATGGCAAGAAGTCAGATTCTTTCCCGTGGCCACTCAACTCGCTGCACGCTTGTCTGCAAAGATCCTCCTCGGGGGCCGTCTCTGTCGCGATAAAGAGTGGATAACAGTCTCCATCAACTTCACCGGTGTCATTCTCCGCGCAGGCCGAGCTCTGCGCGCCTGGCCAGTTCTTCTTCGTCCTCTTGTGCACCGCTTCGTACCGACGCTCAACTACCTTCGAAGTCAGATCACGCAGGCACGAAGGATTATGGAGCCCGAGCTTGCGGCGCGAAGACTGGCGAGGGGTGAGAAGGAGAGACCTATGGATTCACTATCGTGGATTGACGATGTTCGGCGAGGGAGAAAGTTTGATGTCGTTGCTGGACAACTGTTTCTCACATTTGCGGCTATTCACACGACGTCTTCTGTGGTGACTGCCATATTGTATGATTTGCTGGCGTACCCAGAGTATTTTACTCTGTTGAGAGAAGAGATTGTCAAGGTGTTTACCGAGGACGGGGGTTGGAGCAAGAACAGTCTCTTCAAGTTGAAGTTGATGGACAGCTGTATGAAAGAGAGCCAGCGATTGCACATATTGGGTCCTCGTAAGCACATTCGGGTCCTACCGCGAGCCACTCTGGACTGACGACCTGCTAACACGCCCTTCAGATATCATGAACCGCAGAGTCGAAGAGGCCATGACCCTCTCTGACGGAACGTACCTCCCAAAGGGCACCTTAATCACCGTAGCCACACACAACACCCGCGATCCAGCACTCTGGGGACCCGAGCCCGAGAAATTCGACGGCCACAGGTTCCTGCGTATGCGTGAAGAGCCAGGGCAGGAGAATCGGTGGCAGTTCGTCTCGACGAGTCCCGAGTTCCTCGCCTTTGGCCATGGGACGCACGCGTGCCCGGGACGATTCTTTGCCAGCAACGAGATGAAGATTGTGTTGGCGCATCTAATCATGAACTACGATTGGAGGATTGTGGAAGGCAAGCCCCCGGCAAGCATGTTCGTCAGTCGCTTTGTGCCGGATCCAAGGACGGTTATTGGATGCAGGGCGAGGACCCCAGAGATTGAGCTGTGAGAGAGAAAGAGAAAACACACGAGAAGCAAGGCATGAATGAGGAGAAACAATTCAATATTGGGTCAACCGCAAGGTGGACAAAAGTTTCGAGAAAGGCAAAAAGAGAATGCGTCAATCGCTGACGGGAATTGAGCCCGACGTGGCTGGGAAGAGTTAGTGATGATGTTCAGTGATCACCATGTGGTGATGAGCTATAACTTACGGGTCGAACCCACAACCTTGAGATTAAGAGTCTCACGCTCTACCGATTGAGCTAGCCGGGCGGATAGAATCCAATGGCTTGGTGTGTTGTCGAGAGGAAGGCAGAATCAGTCCATGGAGCCCTTGGTGGATGGACCGGACGGGGTGGTGTACATAGTTTTCACGGCCCATCTCTAGACGCGTTGTGTCTTTTGACAGGGTTACCGCGTTTCCGGAGGGTAGGGCTTGTTTTTCTATGGACTCCGGTGCGGGTCCCGGACGGAGACTATTTGAGAGGGGCCGGACGATGTCCCGGGATCAAGAAATCCGCCATGACACCATCTGTTTACCTTTGCGCGAGTCGAGTAGTCAGTTTCCAGGCCGATGTGCTCCCAGTTGGGGTTGGTGGACGGTCCGGTATGCAATACGTGTCAGTTTAGCCTTCTTTTCCGTTTCAGACTTACAGACTGCCCGACGGAACACATTACAAATATTGTGATAAGAAGGAAAATAAGTCCGAGTATGGTACGTTTGAGTAGCTCGCTGCGCCAGAGCTCTTGGGGTTGCCTCATGGGTGGAAGTAAGTTGTCTTCACCTGGTAGGTAAGGCAGGGGTGAAGAAGTATCTCAACTCATGGGCTCTGGAGATTTGGCAGACCACGACAGATGCGATGGCGCGTCGTATCCGATCGAATCGATGAGGCACGTCGCCGTGTTGCTCAAATTCGGCCGTCCTGCCCTAAGAACCAAAGAGGGTGGAACTGCAGCAGCACACTACTCGCAACAAGAACACATCTGGTCAACATAGGAAAATTCATTTTGTAGAGTAAATGCTGGTTATACACACTTGCAGACCGTTGTGGCCTGCCCGTTTTCATCCATTCCGTGAACCACCTTGCACCCCTTTTGTATATCGATACAGAATGAAAGCTGGAAAGCAATAACCACCGCTATTACCACATCGCCCATGAACTCGTGTCTCCAATCGAGACTCAGTGTCCACCTCCTCTGGCTCGCTTCGCGCCAGCATTTCCGCCGGCCTCGGAATCTCCTCTAGGCCGCTTGTTACCAGGCTGGAAATCGTTGGCACCAGGGTTCAACGAGCCGGCATTTTGTCCTCCTCGGCCACCGCCACGTCCGCCCCGTCCTGCTAGACCACCTCTCTCTGCACCTCCGCTTGACACCCTATTTCCGGCAGCGTAAGCGCCACCCCGACCACGACCAGCCGCACCGCCTCGTCCGGGAAGAGGGATGCCACTCCTTTGGCCTGGAGCAGCCTGAGCCGGTGGTTGCGGTAGCCCATGACCTTGCGGTGCGGCCTGACCCGCCGCTGCTCCTTGTGTACTGGAAGCGAAGGGGTTCTGTTGCTGCTGTGGTGCTTGCTGCTGCTGCTGCTGCTGCTGCTGCTGCTGCTGTCCTTGTGTACTCTGTGAGAACGGGTTGGCCGGGGCCGGAGTGCCATTAGCAGCACCGGCCGCGAACGGGTTCGCTGCAGCATTGTTGGCTGCCGGCTTTGTATCCCCAGGAGTAGGTATTTGTCTCTTCTGAGGGATACTACTGCCCGGCGCAGGGATTCCACTTGTAGCGGCCCCGGTTGATGGTTGTGCTTGGTTGGTTGAGGCTGGCGGGGCTTGAGGACGGTTAGAAAGAGTAGAGTGTTGCACGTTCAGTTGGATAAACTCACCAATTGTCGGAGCAGCAGCTTGGGCTGGTGCGGCAGCCGAGGGCGCCGAGATCGAAGGACGGGGTGCGGCGGGTTGCGCGTTGCCAGCGGGCTTCGCCGGGCTTTGCTGCGGCGCGGCGGGAGCTGGTTTGGCAACTTTAGCTTCCTCCCAAACTTCCCCAACGGGTCGCTGAGGTGTCTTTGTTGCGGCCGTGGACACAACTTCGATCTTGGCGTTGGCCCCCCTGAGCTGATTGTCCTTCATGTTGATTTGCAGCGCAGACTTCTTCTGTGCCAGCAGCTGACCTTCCTCGCGAGCGTTTGCGATTCTCTGCTCGAACTCGGCCCTCATACTCGTCTCTGTCTCGTTCTTAACCTTGGCAGTCTGTTCCTCGAGCTTCTTTCTAAGATTTCCCGACATAATATTCCGCACGGTAGCATTGGTGGAAAGGAACTTCCGAATCTCGGCATCGGGGAGTTGAGATAGATCCGCGGCACCAGCAGGTGTACCGGTCATTGGCGTTGCCGGGGTTGCGTCCGGGTCTTGCTGCTTGATGGGCGTAGCAGGCACAGCTGGTTGTTCTCCTGCGGGTTTAGCAGCTGCGGCGCCTTGCTGCTCAGCCTTCCAAATAACCTTTTCTTGCTCTACCCTCGTGGCGAACTCGGCTTCCATCTTTTCGCGAGACTGGCGTAGCTTCTCATTGAGTGCGTTGCGCATCTTATCAGACCGTTCCTTGATGGTCTGGGTGATGTTCTCCTCGAGCTCCTTCGCCTTGCGCTCAGCCTCTGTAGCCTTGGCTTCGGCGGTAGCAATCTTCTCCTCCAAAGTCTTCCGCTCAGTGTCGGATAAGCCAGTCGCGCCGTTTGTGGCAACATGCTCCGCCGTCGGCTGGGCGGCGGGCTGAAGCTGCGCCTGGGCAGCCTGCTGTGCGGCCTCGACAGCCTGGTCTCTCTCGGAGACGGCTGTCTGCAATTGCGATCGCAGGCCCTCAAGCTCTTGCTCGGCGGTCGTCTTTTGGGCTGAGATGGCTTCCAACTGGTTTCGCAACTCGGCGAGTTGCTGCTCCAGCTGGGCGACTACTTCCGAAGATACTGATGGAGACCCGTCTGTCGTGGGTTGAGCGGCAGGAGGTGGCGCGCCAGACTGGTTGGCTTGGGCTTCCTGCTGTAGCCTTTGTACCTGTTGCTGGAAGTTCTTGACTTGTTGCTCAAACTCTGTGCGCTGCTGTGTTGTTGCTTGCAAGTTCTGTCTTGTTGTTTCGAGTTCAGTGTTTATAGAGTTGAGTTGCTGCTGCAGTTGTTCACGCTCAGCAATCGCAGCGTCCTTCTCCGTGACCGCCTCGTTCCGTGCACCAATTGCCTCGTTCTTCTCGCCAGTGATCTTACGTGACCGCTCTTTGAACTGATCGGTCATGCGTTGGCGAGCGTTCGCCCAATTGGTCCTCTCCGTCTCCAATGTCTGCTTGATCTCCTCGAACTCTGCTCGCAGAGGGCCTTCAGACTCTTTGAGAGCGTCGCGCTCGGCCTGCAGATCATTGATGGTCTTCTTGAGTTGCTCCATCTCGGCGGGATCAACACGGCCGTACTTTGTAAGGATGCCCTCGGTTCGCTTCTGCCACCTGTCGCGGTCCTCCTGAACTTGCTTGATTTCTTCCTCGAGGAAGCCCTTTTGAGTCTGGAGCTCCTCGATCCTAGCCTCCAGAGGCTGTACCTTGCCTTCTAGTTCCTCGATTCTGGTGTTCTTCTCCGAGATTTGCGTCCGGGCCTGGGCGAGCTCGTTGCGGAGGGTGGCACTGCTCTCACGGTAAAGGTTGAGTTCGTTGAGTTTATCCATCAGATCCTTGTGGGCAATGGAGGCTTGGCCGCTCTCAGCTTGTGAGCGTCTCTCCTGGTCGAGCTTCAACCGAGCCTCGTCGAGCTGGGATTGGGAGTACTCGAGCTGTTGCTGCAGGCGTTTAGATTCCTGCACCTTGAGGTCGTACTGCACCTCCAAGATCTCCTTCTCCCGTCTGAGATAGTTGTTGAGTTCCCGAAGACCGTCAGCTGCACCGTCGCTGTTGATTTCCGCGCTATCGTTGGCGTCCCCGGCCGCCGCATTGCGACCCTCCTTGAGCGCAGAGAATTGCTTCGTGATGCTCTCCAGCTGCTCGTGCAGAAGCTTGTTCTGTGCGTTGACATCATCGCGGCGGGCCTTGATTTCTGACATTTCCTGCTCGATTCGCTGTTTCCTCTCTTCCCAAGAACTTTCACTTTGAGACAGGGCAACCTTGGCCGACTCCGCCTCGGCTCTCAGAGTCGCCGTCTGGCTCTTGAGCTCGTTGTACTCGGTGCGCAACTGTTGGACGAGCTTCGCAGCCTCGGCGTGCTTGACAAGCTCGTGTTCGTAGTCCTGTTGAGCCTTGGCGGTGATCTCTGACTGAGCACGAAGGTCCTGTTGGTGGAATTTGGCGGCTTCTGAGTGGCGGTCCGCTTCTTCCTTCAAACGCTTCACCTCCTCGTCTAGAATCGTCTTCTCGTCCTCGTACTTGCGGGCAACTTCGGCCTGGGAGTCGCGGAGGTGGGACAGCTCCTTGTTGGAGCTAGCGAGTTCCGATGACAGATCTTCAACACGCTGCTCCAACTCTTTAATCTTGGCGTCCTTGGCCGCGAACGCAGCATCCATCTCCTCCCTGAATTGCTCTGTGGTGGTTGTGAATTCGGTAAGAGCTTCTTCATTTTGTTCGCTGAGTTGCTTGTATTGCTCTGTCTGTTCCCTGGCATTCTCGAGCTGAGACTTGGCGATGTCAAGCTCCCTCTTGAGATCGGAAACCTCATTGATTAACTCGCGAACCTCGGCCTCGCTGTCTTGGTCAGTCTGGGTAGGAGGTGCCATCGTGCCGGGCCTTGGCGTCGGTCGGGGCGCCAGGCGACCAGCTCTGTCTTCCGCGTTACGAAGTTCGATGGTGAGCTCATCAACGCGAGCTTGCAGGTGGTCGCGGCTGGTCTTAACAGCGACGTGCTCCTCGCGTATCTGGCTCAGACTGGTAGAGAGCTCATCGATGCGTTTCTGGGCTTCGCGAGCATCGAACTCCTTCCTGAGCTGAAGCTTCTTGCCTTCTTCCATTTCATCAGATAGCTTGCGTTTCGTGCTGTTCAGCTCTTGTTCAAGGTTGTCGATC